ATCTATGGTAATCTTCGGAAATATTCGGAAAATGTTCGGAAACTTGTTTGGCCTTCGGACAACTTTTGGAGAACCTTCGGGAATCTTCGGAAAGTGTTCGAGAATCTTCGGGAAATCGTAAAAAAATTCGTCATTAGCATGTTTATATAATAAACAGAATATTACATGCCCGCTTGTGAACACTCGAAGATAAAATTCGTATCCACGCGCGGGCGTGTAATATCCTCCATTTCTGTAGCATGAAGCGATTAGGAGTATTTCTACTCCCCCCTCGATGGGATGCTAGTCCATCGTAGGGCTACCCCCAGCATTAAGTTCGCCGGTACCCATTTATACACCTGGGTGGAGAGAGGCACTGTGAGAGTAAAGTGTCTTGCCTAGGAAGATAACGCAATGTCCCCGGTCAGGGATCGAAACCGGACCGCTTGATCCAGAGACGAGCGCACTAACCATGAGGCCACCGCGCCTGCCCACATTCATCAGTTGGCTTTTCATTTAAGTGCCGCACACGAGCTTTCTCCATTGAGGCCGGTTGGCATGGCAACAGGCACCACTACATTTAAAAGCAGATCGCGTCCATTTGCCTGTTCACCGAACAGTGGAAGATTGCAAAACTAGGTCGTCATTATAAGAAACTTAAAAGACTGAACAAGCAAAACCATTTATTTTCTTTTTCTCTTTTGAAATCAGTTTCTCGATAGCATATATAGAAATACAGATGATAGGACGCGATCGATGACTGGAATTCAAGAAACACTAAACCAGAGCCAGTCACGTTATTTTGAGTTATTTTGGTCACGTACAAAATTACCTTTTAATTGAAGGAAACCAGAAAAGACTGATTTACTAAGATATAAAAGGAGCAGCGAGATAATAATAAGCGATAAAGGAACAAGAATGGTTGAGGATGGAAAAGATTAACACGGATTGCAAATGACGAACTTGAAAAAAATAGGCTAAACTTTTCAAGATGAGCAACCGTGACGCAGCTACAAAGGTCATCCATGAGCGATTGGTCACACTGTCATGATATCTAAGTATATTCGAAAGATTTTGATTGAACTTAATTAGTAAAACCGAGTTTCGCTTCCTGCAGGAAGGGGCCCATCACAATATAACGCACGAATATGTGGCACTTATTTGGCCAATGCTGGATGATCGGGATATTTTCACAGTTGAAACTGACCACAGTGTGTTGATCTATCGATTTGACCATCTTTTAAATTCAAAGAAAGTGTTTTGAAAAGAGATTGTCATGCCCCAATCTGATACACTTTAATGGTAAGGTTTGTGGTCATTATGACAAGTTTTTTTTTTTAATTTTTGTTTTGTTTATGAAATTATGCCTCACTTCTGAAAGGAATTCTCGAGAGACCTGCACGTGAGACCCAGGTTCAGTTTGCCATGTCGCCACCAATAAGTTTACCCATGTGAATGCATTAAAAATTGTATGACACGACCGTGTGAGGGACGTCACGTGATAGGAATCACGCCTTTCATCTTTTTCCATCTTTTTAACTTTTAAACTCTGTTAAAGGATTAAACAAGACTTTTGAACAACTTTTAAGTAAATGTGTTCCTTGGTTAATTAACATTTAACGAGTTTGCCACAGTTGTTTTGCATAAAATATCCCTTGCTGTCTTAACAACTACCTTGCGAAGCTCGCGAATACGCCAGCAAAACAAAAATGGATTGATAGAGGAATTCATGAATACTACAGTATCAGTTAGGCCCCAAATGCTTGTCCAGTGATTAGGAGAAATTGATAAAATTAACATGGAAATAAACAACGGTGCATAACACAGAATCATTACGATGTAATATATGAAAGTGTTTTTAGCACTTTTTTTCATCTGTAGCATATTCTGATTGGCTCTAGAATTTAGAATTTCCACAGCTTGGCGTTGAGCGTGAATCTGCAACTGATGTTGACGAACAATCCGATAGATTCGGATGTAACAAACAGTGGAAACTAAGAGACAAATGACAATAGCAACAGCCGCCGTAAAATAATATGCACTCATTTTCCAAAGAAATAACAAAGACAACAGGCACACAATAAGCCAAAGAGTCACTGATGTATACAAAGCGCAATGTGTAGTCATCAGACTCGGATATCGCATGTGATAATGAAGAGCTAAGAGTCGATCCACACTGATGACTGTCATTACAAGAAGCGACACCCCAGTTCCGGCTGCGGCCATTATAGACAGTGCATTATAAACGGAAAGATTACCCGTTAGCTTGTAAGTAATGTAGAGCGGCTGCACCACAAATCCAACAGTAAGGTCCGACACAGCCAGACTGCAGAGAAAAACTGTTGATGGCGAACGAAGCGAAGGAGTTCTCAATATGGCGGCCAGCACCAGCGTGTTGCCAACAATGGCTATGAGTATCAATGGAGCATTCAGGACACAGTTTATGATGACGATAGAATTGGGACGAAAACTGTCTTCCATATTACAGGAATAACCAGTTTCTGATGTGCTTGCCAAATTCAAACAACCTTTCCTTTGCGTTTTGGAACGGTGGCAAAGCGTTTTGGTGTGTAAATTTAGTTAAATAGCTTGGCAAACATTGTCTCTTCTTCTCAGGTTTTGAAATGGCTGCAGGGTGTTGTTCAGTGTTTGGTCTTGAAACTCGACAAATTCTATTCTTCAACTTGACGAGAAGTTTTGCATTTGAAGTCAATGTCTGAAGCCTGCTGTGCAAAAACTGAATGGTAGCTTCTGGAATAACGGGGCGTAACATTTGATAAGGATGCTCCTTTATTCATTATGTTGACATAAAAAACATGGTTCACAATGACAGGTGCTTAATTAAAATAGTGTATTGTTTAAAATGTCATTAACTGAATCTAGGGAAAAACATGATGCTCTGTAAAGAAAGACTACATGTAGAGTGCCAAGTGTCCTAAGGTGTAATATGTGTAGTCAGCCCCAAGGAAAGCGTTTCTATTAATAACAGATGCTTTCAGATTGTGCATAAGCTAATCTAAAAAATACCACATTTAGGGATTGTCGACATCTTAATCACTCTAAAAAAAGAAAAACCTTGGAAGTGAAGCAAAACGAAACTCATTGCACCGCTTTGAAATACCTTCAAAGTTTCCAAAACTTTCATGACGTCTCTACCTCATTTATTGTACTTTAACATTAGTTTAGTTTATTTTATGTGATGAAAAATGTTTCGCGAAGTAAAGTCTCGACTGACAAATCCCCGCACTTCGTATCAATTGGAATCGTTGTATTAAAATTTTTAGAATCAACACGACGTTTTTTGAAAACATGTTTCAACAGAATCTTCTGTCATCTTCAGTTTAAACTACAAAGTACAGAGTTGAATATACAGTGTACGCACAACGCTAATTGACTATAAGAACAAAAGGAAACATGACAATGTAAAAGATTACAACGGTATGCACTGAACGTTCATTAAATCGTATGTTTTCCTAATTTCCTCCTTAATTGAACTAGATTTTAAGCTCTATTACGCTACGCTGTCTGCTAATTTAAAAAGATGTGTACGGTGTAGTGTACACTCAAAGCTCTGACTTTAATACAGCGACACATCATTAGGCCAGAGATGGGTGAATGCATTATGGATGTAAAGATTGTATGAATTCTTAATTCTTTCTTTTAGACCAAGAAGAACAGTGCTAAGGTGCCTTGATACATTATTAATGTGCCTAATTTAAGAGATTGTTTCCTTTACAATAGCTAGTTATAAGATTGATGTTTATGCTTTATTTATTCCACTTATTTGTTCTCCCACCCTGCGAAACCTAATTTTCCTCGGTTTGTTTACAAAACATATGCCTTGCTGTCTTGATAACTGCTGCTCGAAGCTCGCGAAGACGCCAGCAAAATAAAACTGGATTGATGGACGAGTTCATAAATGCTAAAGTATCAGTAAAATTCCAAGCGTTTGTCCAGAATTGAGGATAAATTGCTAAAATTGACATTTGAATAAACATTGGTGTATAACACATAATTGTCACGATGTAGAAGATAAACGTGTTGATAGCACTCTTTTTGGAGTGCTGCATGTTTTGATTACTCTCAGCACTGTTTAACCTTTCCACAGCTTGTTGTTGGACGTGAATTTGTAACTGATGCAGGCGAACAGTACGAAAGATTCGGATGTAACATGCAGTAGAAATTAAAAGGCAAATAACTATGTTAGCAACTATGGAAGAATAGTAAGCATTCCTGCTCCAAAAATATGACAATGAAGACACGAAGCTAATGAACCAAATAGTGGCTGATGCATACATTACGCGATGTGTAGTCATTAAATTCGGATATCGCATGTGATATTGAAGAGCCAAGAACCTATCCACGCTTATGGTTGTCATTGTTAAGAGTGAAACACCACAAGCGGCAAAGGCTGTTGTCAATAGTACTGGGTGTAAGGAAGCGTTTTTAGTAATTTCATGAGAGATATAAAGCGGATGAACTACAGAACCAACAAGAAGGTCAGAGACAGCCAAACTGCACAGCAAAATGGTGGACGGTGAACGAAGCGAAGGAGTTCTCAAGATGGCGGCTAGCATCAAAGTGTTGCCAATGAGGGCTGTGATCAACAATGGAACATTCAGAACACAGTTTATGATGACGATGGTTTCAGGACGAGAATTATTGCCATTACTCCCCGAAAGAGCCACCGATTCATTTGCCATCTTCCTTGAAACTGTTTTATATGTGGAAATTCCAGCCTAGTTTTTGGGAAGAATCTGGTTATAAAGCTTGACAAATAGTAATTTTTCCCTTAATGTTGCAGCTGAAAAATTCAGAATTTGTCCATTGAAATTAGTCTCACTGTAAATATAATATACAATTTAGTGTGACAGAAAGAGTCCTATTTAAAAATTAAAAGTGTGTGGCATATGGTTTCTTACAGTTTCGATCGTCAATAATGCCACCACAGTAAAAGCAGGGAGTTTCCCTCAACCAAATGTTGACAGATATAATGAACGTTGCCTTGTTTACTTTGTGGGAAACATTGCTTTAACGTCTTGTCTTCGGAATTAAAAAGTAACAATTATGCAAGTAAAATAAGAATAAAACACAGCGTGCATTATTTGTAGACATGATAATGTTTCAGCCAACCTTAGCGCTACCTATGCCATTAACAATTCTAGCTTTACTAATTAAAGCGTGGCTGGTGTTGTAAATGTTAAAAAAATCAACGGGAGTCGACGCTTAAATTATTCTGCATGAAAAACGATTCATGTTTGGCTGAAAGCAATTTAACTTGTTGCCTTCGTAGTTTGTATAGAAAGTGCGCAGAGAGAAACAATTGCAGATGATTCAGTCCCAAAATGAGTTTTTCATTAACGAGCTGTTTAATCAGTTCAATAGCCCAACATTATCAGTTAAGAAATAGAAAACATGTGCCGTGTTTCTGTCGAGTTAGAGAAACACAAGTGGAAGTTTGGGAGAACGAGAAATGCTGTGGGAACACGAGTCGACAGGCGAGTGTTTCGAGTTTAGAAATTCCGCGACGAAGAAAAGAAAGCAGCTTGAATTGTTTACTTTGATCATTAAAATGCAAATTCATTACGTCAACAGCTCGTGCTAGAGCAGTGTTCCTATCGAGTTTTGGTAGAATTTTGCTTAAACGGCACTACTGCAAATGTTGCAATCTGATTGGCTAAGTGATCGCACACTGTCAGCCATTAGAGTTCGGTGNTCTGTCGAGTTAGAGAAACACAAGTGGAAGTTTGGGAGAACGAGAAATGTTGTGGGAACACGAGTCGACAGGCGAGTGTTTCGAGTTTAGAAATTCCGCGACGAAGAAAAGAAAGCAACTTGAATTGTTTACTTTAATCATTAAAATGTAAATTCACTATGTCAACAGCTCGTACTAGAGCAGTGTTCCTATCGAGTTTTGGTAGAATTTTGCTTAAACGGCACTAATGCAAATGTTGCAATCTGATTGGCTAAGTGATCGCACACTGTCAGCCATTAGTGTTCGGTGGATAGGGGTTGTCTTTGAAATGTCGTCGTCATTTTCGTTTTTCCAACGTTTTGGAAGAACATTTGATCAAATGGGTAATTAAACTTCTGAGAAGACTTAAAGAAGGACATTTGCGGTTTTTTGACTTAAAAAACAACTTGAAATTATTTGAAAAGAAAATGATGTGCACGGACACAACTGTTGAATTTTGAATGACAATTCAATCCGAGCGATCTTTCCAAGACTCGAAGTTGGATAATAAGTCGAGAAATAATTGGAAACCGTTATTTGATGGAAATTTCAGTTAGAATTCTACAAAAACAATTAGAGGGATAATTCGCTGTCGATTTCTATGAGGTGATTGTTGATGAAGCCGAAGGAGATGAGAGCGAATAATGTAATTGTTGAAAAGAAACTCGATTTTAAACCAATCAGCGCGCGTATTTTCTTTGGGCTTTTTTCTAATTAAGAAGTGGAATACGGCCTCGTCAACTATCGCCTCTTATAGTTCACCACTAAATTTTCTCCGACTCTTATTGGTTTAAACTGATCACGTGACGCGATAGTGTTCATCAGCGGAGAGACACTATCAGCCCATAGTCCCCGTCCAAGGAAAATACCCGGATGGATAGTACTCGTCAATGAAAATATTTATGTCAACAAGCGGGCTTATAGGGAAAAAAACAAAAAACAATTGAATTTATAATAAGAGGGGGGGGGGGTTTGTTTTCTTTTTCAAATTTTACGTTTGGCTTTCACGCCTTTCATCTAAAAAAGTTGAAAATAATTCAATATGATTTTTGAACTGCGCACGGAAGAAAATTTAATGGTGAACAATAAAGACAATAGGGTGTTTATGTCTCGGAACTATCGGTGTGATAGTTGCCCCTTGGAAATTTGATGTTCTTAAAAATAGCATATTTGTCCTCGAAGCAAATATTTGTTTTAAGAACATCAAATTTCCGCGGGGCAATTATCAGCCTATAGTTCCTCGACAGAAACACTCTATTGTTTAAATAGAAATCTCGAGCTCATAACCGAGTGGAAGTTTAAGAGAACGAGAACTGCTATGGGAACACGAGCGTGGAAGTTTAAGAGAACGAGAACTGCTGTGGGAACACGAGCCGCAGGTCGCAGGCTTCTTCGAGTTCTCCCAGCTTCTCCCAAACTTCCACGAGTGTTTCTATAACTCGATAGAACATATATCCCTTTTCTTTTAGAAAACACCGCAACGAAAAACCAACGAAATTTATTTTGATCATCAAAATGTAAATTGCCTTGGCTCGCGCCATCATTACGTCAACAGCTGGTGCTAGTTTTGTTTTTCTATCGAGTTTTAGTATAAATCTACTAGATTCTATCACGAATACCGTTCTCTGATTGGCTACGCTGGCTGAGTAGCGTCGCAGTGTGTCCTTGTTAAGAAACTGAAGGCCGCTTATTGGAGTTTTCGAAGTGTCTGTGAAGAGGATTTAGGTAAAGTTTTCAACGAGTAGTAGATATTTATACTAAAACAATTAGATTATTCGCTCTCGATCTCTATGCGTGATAGAAATCTCGAGCTCATAATATAATTGTTTAATAGAAACGCGATTTTCAACCAATCAGCGCGCGTATTATCGTCAGGATGTTTTCTAAAAGGCGTTTCAATATTATCGGCGGCTTCATAATAAATTTGCACATAGCCTTGCAGTTTTTCATTTATATGAAATTTTAATGAAAGTGCTTGTTATGTCTTATTTTGAGCTGATAACTCAAGTATTGGCCTTTTTTCATTACCACAAATATATTTGTTGATCGTCTTAGCAGTTTTGCGATCTTCGTATCCCTATCTTGTTCGTTTGGCAATGTTGCATCATACTTTGACTGCTCGAGAGACAATCCTTAAGAGACACTTAAATGAAGCGAAAGACATCATACAAAATTCTGTCACGTCGCAGACCCTGCGAGATAAGGAGGGGGGGGGGGTGAGTGGCCCTCCCGGGCCCCTCCCCTGCCACTGATAATTTTATTGTCAGTTTATGATAATTTTATTGCGTCTAATGGTTTTTCTGGCGCCTGTATTTGCACTGCTGCTGAGCTAGGGAACTGCTAATGGGAAGGAAAAGCGCAGCGGCACTTGACAATGAAAGGAAAACGGCAGTCCGGGATTTCTTTGCTTTAACATTAGCAAATTTTGCCCTTTTCGCTTGTTGAAATGAAACCTACTTAAATACACCTTCGGCTATTTTTACTCTCCTTTACAACTCTTTGAACGCGTGAACATTTGCCCACAACGTGTCGCGACACGTTCTACATTTCTTCGGTTACCGTCAGACTAACTGAAGAAGACCTTGTCTATCAGTGAAATCGACAGGGGAAATGTTCCTAGCCTAAACCATGCATGCCTGATGAGGAGTTTAACTGTCCATAGCCCTCCATTTACTTACTTTCGTTTTGGCGACGTTTACCGAGGTTTACTACTGCGTTTACACGATTAAAAAATTTCGTTCCGTTAAGTTAAAATAAACCTAGGTAAACATCTCTCGTGAAAAAACGGGGATATAGAACTTTGCTTAGCATGAGACTTATGTTAATTTCTCTGAATTCTGAGGCAGAATTTTTAATCTGTCCTGTACACGATTACGAACAGCTCAGTTTTGATACGGTGATATGATAGTGTCAATATGTAAACGCAAAATTGCTGATTTTGGCTTCGCTATATTAATGGGAATCAGACGGAAACAGGACTTTTTAATAGTAACCCTCGATAACTAGAATAAAATATTTTAAAAAACATGTCCTGGAAATTTCAATTTCTCAGTGGTCTGTCTTAGTACAAAGAACGGGGAATGGACAAAAAATGAGATTTGCGTCCAAGGACATGAAGTTACAAAGGTAAAATTTGTTGACGATTGGTTATATTGACATTTGTTGTTACGAAAAGGATTTTGAACAATAAAAACAACAATCCTTTATTTAAACACAATTTGGTCTAAAGCAATAGATTTGCTTTTGAGGTCGTGTATCTAGCTAAAAGTTTAGAAAAACATAAATATGTACAATGATAATGGTGATCATATTCGTATTCATTCACATTAATAAAACTTAAAATCCGTCAAGTTCCTGCTTTGCGTTGAAAATAGGTTATGTTACAGTGAAAATAGGTTGTGTTAGGTTTCCTCCATTTACATACCTAACATCTGCTTTGTTGTCTTTACCACTGCTGCTCGGAGTTCGGGAAGCCGCCAGCAATATAGAAATGGATTAATCGATGAATTCATAAATGTTACAGTTTCTGCTAAGATCCATGCACTTGTTAGTTGAATGTGGGAAATGCCCAACATAATCAGGGAAATAAACAACGGTGTATAACACAGAAGCATCACGATGAAATATATAAAAGTGTTTTTGGCGCTTTTTGTTGAGAGCTGCAGGGTTTGGTTATTTTCAGCATTGGAACTTTCCACAGCCTGCTGTTGAACTTGAATCTGAATCAGATGGCGACGAGCTATCGTGTAAATACGAACGTAGCAAAATGTTGAAAGAAATACACAAATGACAATGCTGACAGCCG